CAGTGAGAGAGTCACGAGACGAAAGTGAGGGTGAGATAATCAGGAGACAAGAATGAGGGTGAGATAATCAGGAGACAAGAATGAGGGTGAGATAATCAGGAGACAAGAATGAGGGTGAGATAATCAGGAGACAAGAATGAGGGTGAGATAATCAGGAGACAAGAATGAGGGTGAGATAATCAGGAGACAAGAATGAGGGTGAGATAATCAGGAGACAGGTTACAAGTTAGTAAATCAGTAGACATAAGTGGGAGTTAGTCAGTAGATAACGGTGGGAATAAGTAAGTAGACATGACTGAAGATGAATAAGTCATTAGACAAGGGTCGGGGTGAGTGAGTCAGTAGACAAGAGCAGGAGTGAGTAAGTCAGCAGACGGGTGGAGTAAGTCAGCAGACGGGTGGAGTAAGTCAGCAGACGGGTGGTGTGAGTAAATCAGTACACAGTGTTGAGAGTTATTCAGTAGACAAGGGATGGGGCGAGTAAGTCAGTACACAATGGTGACAGTGAATAAATCTGTAGACAGGAGAGGAAGTAATTTAGTAGAGAAAAATGGGAGTAAGTCAGAAGACAAGAGTGGGTGAGTAACGCAGTAGACGAGAGTGGGAGTAAGTGCTAAGTAATTCAGTGGACAAGAGTGAGATGAGTAAGTCAATAGACATTGTTCGAAGTGAGTGAATCAGTAAACAAGACAGAGTGAGTCAGAAGACAATGGTGGGAGTAGAGTAGGGATGAGTAGGTCAGCAGGCAAGAGTGGAAGTAAGTAATTCGGAAGACAATGGTAAAAATGAGTAAGTCATTAGAGCAAAGTTAGGACAAGTCAGTAGATAATGGTGGTAGTAAGTCAGCAGACAACGGTGGGAGTTAGTCAGTAGACAACATTGAAAGTCAGTAAACAACGGTGGGAGTAAATCAGCAGACAGTGGTGGGAGTAAGACAGCAGATAACGGTAGGTGTAAACCATTAGACAACGGTGAGAGTGAGTCAGTAGACAATGGTGGTTGTGAGTCAGCAGAAAAAAAGTGGGAGTAAGTCAGTTAACAACGGGATAGTGGGTTAGTAGACAACGGTGGGAGTCAGCAGATAACGGTGGGAGTCAGTAGACAACGGCGGAAGTCGGTAGACAACGGTGGAAGTCAATAGACAACAGTGGAAGTCAACAGACAACGGTGGGAATCAGTAGACAATGGTGGGAGTAGACAACGGTGGAAGTGAGTAGACAACGGTGAGCGAGAGTAAGTAGACAACCGTGAGAGTAAGTCAGTAGACAACGGTAGGAGTCAGTAGACAACTGCGGGAGTCAGTAGACAACGGTGGAAGTCATTAGACAACGGTACAGGTGAGCAAGTCAGTAGACAAAGGTGGGAGTAAGTCATTAGGCAACGGTACAGGTAAGTCAGTAGACAACGGTGGGGGTAAGTCAGTAGGCAACGGTGGGAGTAAGTCAGTAAAAAACGGTGGGAGTACGTTAGCAGAAAACGGCGGGAGTCAGTAGACAACGGTAGGAGTCAGTAGACAACGGTAGGAGTCAGTAGACAACGGTGGAAGTAAGCTAGTAGACAACGGTGGAAGTAAGTTAGTAGACAACTGTGAGATTAAGTCGGTAAACAACGTTGGGAGGAAGTCATTAGACAACGGCACGGATGAGTAAATCTACAGACAACGGTGGGAGTATGTCAGTAGACAACGCTAGGAGTAAGTCAGTGGACAACGGTAGGAGTAAGTCAGTGAACAACGGTAGGAGTAAGTCAGTGGACAACGGTAGGTGTCAGTAGACAACGGTGCGAATAAGTCAGTATACAACGATAGAGGTGAGTATATCAGTAGACAATGGTGGGTGTAAATCAGCAGACGACGGTGGGAGTAAGTCAGCAGACAACGGTGAGAGTAAGTCAGCAGACAACGGTGCATGACCAAGGATGAGAAAGAGAAGGGTTAGTTGACATGGATGAGGAAGATTCAGTCAGTAGACAAATGTGCAAGTGAGTAGGCGTGAATAAGTCAGTAGACAAGTGTGGGAGTAAATCAGTAGACATTGAAGGGCGTGTGCCAGTAGACAAGGGTGGAAATATTAAGTCAGTAGACAAGAACAGCGATGAGTAATTTAGTAGAGAAGGGGAGTGTAAACTAAATAAAGGAGGGGTAAACAGAAGAT